ACCCTACCCTGGCTGTTGCTTACTGACACCTGGCAGACGGCCTGAAGTAGGAAGAAGTGTTCATTTTTCACATGAACACACTAGTCAAGTCATTCACAAATGGCCTGGAAAGGGAACGGACAATTAGGTGACAAATCTGCTGATGAGAACAGAATTATCCAAAAGAGTCTATGGCTGTCTGGAAAAAGTTGCAAAGGATCTTGTGATACTGGGTGATAGAACTAGAGTACAAAATTCAGCATTCATAAATGAAGAGTATTTACAGATGATCAAAACATAACTCCAGCTATTGAAAGGGAGCAGTTGTTTACAGATCAGCTGCCAGATCTCAAAGACTTTGAAGTCACTGTGGAGCTCTCAAAAAGCCTCAGCTCAAGAGAAGGAAAAAGGTTAACGATGTGCCAGCAGTTATTTGGAAAAGAATAAGATATAAGATGTGATGCCATCATGTTTTCTGTATATTCAAAATGACACAAATTTCTCACTAATCCATCTCGAAAAGGATAATGTAGTACTCAGACCTCCAGAGAAGGGTGGCAAGGACAGTCAGAGGTATAGAACAGTTTCGCTACAGGGACAACTTTAGGGAATGACTCCCACCACGGCAGAAGGACAAGAAAGGATGAGACACATAAAAGGTCATGAATGGTATAAAAAAGTGAGTTTGGAAGATCAGTCACACAGATGAGTACTGGAACAGTCATGCCATAAAAGTTTAAGAAAAACAAGCTACATTTTTTGGACAGCAGACATGACAGACAGTGGACTCACTGCCACAGTGCAATGTAGAAGTACAAACTGGTTCCAAAATACATTAAATTCATGGAAAGTAGGCCTAACAAGTGACTACAAAGCAAAATCACATGTTCTCCTGAATATCCGTTGTAGAAAATCTGAGATACCAGCTGCTCCAAAGATGCAGCAGAAAACAATACCCGCATACCTGTCCCATTTGTTACGCTTCCCTGAGATGCTACTCCTGGTGCCTGGCCCTTCTTGAAGACAGGATAATACACTGGACAGCCCTGCACCTCAGTTCTTCACAACAACAGTGCTTGCCCCTCCCTACCCCACCACCCCTCATGCAGCACCTCTCTGAAAATGAGCTGGAGTAAGAACAAAGATGTAGATAAAGCCCCTGACAAACCACATCCAAGTAATTTTTTTTTATTGGTAGGTCAACACCTCTGAAAAAGTTGCATTGGTGGCAAAGTAGGGGATGTAATAGTCTAGATCCTAAAGCACACTAGCACAAGCCTCAACCCATCACTCAAGGGCTGTTTAGCTGCCAGTGAGAGCTATTTCGGAAGCATTCTTGAAGGCACCACTTTCTCATGCCAGCCCCCTATGAAGGGCTCTGCTCACCCACAGAGGATGACAGTGCCTGTTCATGTTATTTGCTGTAAGGCAGCACACCAAGAAAATGGGTCGAGGCCTTGAACTCCTTCTAACAGTGGTGTACGGTATCTCACCAGCAGCTACTGCAGTTTGCAGGAATGGATTTGCTTCTCAAAACAAGGTCCCCGTATTTTCCTGATGCAACTTAGCAATAACTGCAGAAAATGTGTTATTATTAATGACATCTGTGTATTATCATTAATGATTTCTCATAGATAATACTGATGAAGACTTTAAATTGAAGACTTCAACGTGTTCAGCTAAGTCCAAATACTGTGAGGACATTTTTCTTTCAGTGCCCTCCTCTGCTCCTGTTTTGTTCTGCAAGGTGACTTACAGAGCAGTCACGCCCAGGAGATCTATTCCTGTCTTCAGGATCGCTGAAGGATGGTTAATACAGACAGCGGCAAAGGCTTTGTTTATACTAGTAAATGAAACAGAGCCAAGGTGTGGACTTAAGCACCGGCCTGTGATCATCCAAGCTTGTTTGTTAGCACACCCACAGTTTTTGGCCTGTGCCAACCACCACTTTCTCAGACAGCGCCTGGGCACGTTTTTGGGAAATGCAAGTGCTGTGCCAGGGACTGCTCTCAACAGGCTGTTTGGATGTGATGGCACTATTCTGGGGTGCAGAGGGCAGAAAAAGAGTTTAGCTGTGTAGGCCACTTGAAGTCAGAGGTAGCCTGCTTAATGCAATACTCCAAACATTGCCAAAGAGTCATATTAAATTCAGAAAACTTCTTGGTAGCACAAACTGCTCAGCACTGCAATAAATGCTGGGCAGGGGATGACCTTGAGGAAGCCCGTTTCAAGAGATGTAATGACATGCCAATAAACACAAGGAAATATGGCCAGCATCAATGAGCATGAAGTCAACAGCAAGCAGAAGTATAGCAGGTGCCAGCAGACGAACTAAAATCACAACTGAGCTTGCAATGAGCTTCCCAGGTCAGGAGAGCACCCATAGCTTGACTCTACATTCTCTTGCAGATCTCCCCAGCACAAGCATATGAAGCATTTCAGATCTTTTCTTACTGCGGATGTTTGTGGAGGTTTTCCTCAAAGAAAAAAGCTCCTTTCTTGAAATTGGAATGGCAGAAGGTGCCATAGTGTTTTAACTTATGCGGACAAAATTATTCTTTAGTGATCTTCAGTTTAGTTTTAATGACTCAAGACCATTTCAGAATCCAAAGCTGGAGCATGAGGTGCCTTTGTAGTTTGTTAGTTGAGCTTTTACTCCCAAATTTATTCAGAGCACAAGGTTAGAGCATGTCTGATGTTGTCAGTATGTGCCATTTAACCCATAACAATCATCCAGAAAGCATCAACTAATATCGCTCAAGTCCCTGTTGTTTTCTGGCCATAAGAGTGCTCATCCACAATGCAAAGTCACACAGTTTAGCTTAAAACACAGGAAAGAGCTGAGAGAGGGTTTACAGAGCTGTCACCTAAAGTTTCTCAGCAGAGATGCATGTATGCGAGTGCTTTCATCTGAGTCTCTGGATTAAGCTCCTGGCTCGCTCTGGCATATCTCAAAGCCTGAGATGGAGTGCTCAGCCATGGGGCTGGAGCAATGTCCACTGTTTGCCACTGCAGCATGAACATGGGCAAAGGTGATGCCAAGCGTCTGTGAGGAGCAATCTTGCTAACATAGTCCCAAGGTCTTCTGAAGGTGGCTACGTAGACAGAGAGTAATAACGAGGAGCGGCTGGCATACAATGCTGTCTGCCACTGTAGTCAGCTATATAATTAATTGCATCCTTTGCATTGTTTTAAAAGTGAATTGTGCCTGGAGGCTCCTGCATCTCTACTGTGCATCTCCACTGAGGACTCAGAGATGGAGACCTGAATTTCTACTTTGCTTAACAGCTAAATTACACTTTTTGTAAGAAAACTGATAACGTGGCACCTTTGGTGTCAAGTTTTACAGATCTGACCATGAGCTAATGAATTCAGCCTTGTTCCCCAAAAGCTCCGAAGTCTACCAAACAGTCCTGTGGTTACCAAGGCCCTCGGATGCAGGGACCCAAGCCCACTTGTCCACTCTCTCGTGAAATATGGGTGATGAGTAGGAGCTGAGTGTGAGGCTTTTAGTTTCTTCCCTTCCCCTTCCATACAGCACAAGGCACTCCAGAAGCAGCCATGGCCCTCATGGACCCTCCTGGCCAAGAGACTTCAATCTTGAGGGAAAAGGCAAAAGAGTGCATGAAAACGAGAGATGCATATGGGCAAGCACTTGTCCCATCTTGTAATATCACTTGTCAGCATCTTCTAATCTGATCCCAGGCTGCAAAGGGTTGCAGCTCAGCTTGTAAATTACTGGGTACCATTACAGTGATATTATAAAGCGAGGAACAAAATAATTGTTAGAGTAGCAAAAAGACATGGCTTTGCCCTTGGGTGGGGAGGCACACTGGGACAGTCTCCAGCGCCAGGCCATTTTTAGCAGAAGTAATCACAAATACTTTTTAGCTGACTTAGCTACAAAGAGGGAAAGGCTTCATATGATGAGCGATGTTCATTATTACTCTGCTGTAGAATTTAATTCTTCTAGAAGTAATACACTGTGTTTTGCCAGTATCTAATAGCAAACCATGGAACATGAGGATGTAGAGTTAAGGTACGTGTAAATACACCGGTTTTGTTTCTCAGCTTTCCTATTTCCCAGGACTGTCCTTTGTTGTGCACCTCCGATATTTTCAAAGCTTTTTATATCTGGATTTAGTAATTGCTAACAGGGAGTCTAAGGCTAGAGACCGTAATGTGTGTTATGGCACATGCACTGACTGGGTGCACCTATTCAACCAGTCTCCTGTTAGTGTCAAACATGCCTGTCTCCTAGCAGATTTTTTGATGAGAAACCACCTCACTACCCTGAAAAGCCCTGCTCTATTTGCTGCCTAGCCTCCTGCACCCCTGTGTATAGATTATTTTTGGAAGGCTGAGCAGGGAATAAGTACTCTGTGTATTTACCAGCTATTGAGTCAAAGTTCAGCCACATACAAACATTTCATTCTGTTACTCAAACTCTCAGAACTTGGTCAAAACAGAAACGATTTGCACTTAGGTATTAAAAGGTATGTCCAGGCCTGAACACCTAGTTGAGAGCAGGGCCATACACCAGCCTCATATTGGCCAAGACTTCTTTTCAAAGTAGCAGCTAGGCATGTACCAATTTGGGAAAAAGTTTTGAAACGCAAAGAAAGAGAACCTTAATTTGACATACTTGCTGCATCTCCCATAGGAGGAAGGTCACCCACATCTTCAGATCTAACCAAAAGCAGGAAAGAAGCAACAGTTACTGGAATGTTGTTTCTCCCTTCAGAAGAACACCCTGCGTTACCATTGCAGGCTGCATGCCTACAGAGGCTGATACATGTGCTGGGAGGAGGAGGAGTCCTGAGAGCGGCACATTTTCAGGTAGGAGGCAAAAAGAATATACAGTGTGACGACCAGAATGCAGCTATCGCTGTCACCCCTCACTCCACAGCCCTGTAGGCACGATCTGCTAACCTGGCTTCCCAACACCTTGCACAAGGCTACGAGGAAAAGGGCAGCTGTCGTGGGTTTGGGGGAGAGCGCTGGTTTGGTTTTGTGTTTACCTGTACACCACCACAGGAATCCTCTTCCACGACCTAAACGAAGCCACGTTCTCTAGCTCCTTATCGGTGATCCAGACAGGGACCAGCAGCTTCTGGGGATAACTGGAACAAAGCCTGAAAAAAAGAAAGCATGAAGGCAAGATGAGGACTCTGCAATCAAAATCTGTACAAGAGAAGCTGTGCAGAGAGGAGGCAGGAGCAGCTCGTATTTCCCCAAACTCAGCATGCAGGACTTGCGCTCTTCCTTGTCATGTGTGTCTCAGCACAGTCTCAACGTGGGAAAAGTGACCCAAAAATGCTGTCAGGAATGAGCTGAGAGAAGACAACCTCCTTTCACCTCAGGCCTCACCTCCAGGCCCATACTAAATACCCCAGTACTTCCCAAAGGTGCCTTTGGAACATCCTCTGGATTTAAGCATTTGTGAGCATTTAGGGGAACCATCCTTAATTTATGTGGGGCTTTGGTTTTCTTGCACCACTTGCAAACCCAGAAACACACAGAACTTCTGGTAAATGATGCCCTGCCACTTTCTGCCTTGCAGAAAGTGGGGTCACCACATATAAGCTTTACACGGAAGACATAACTCTGCCCAGAAAGATGGCAATGGTTGATTCCATCTAAGCTACGATAAAATTACATGAGGGAGATCTAAAAGAGTATTTTGTTTGGTGGGGCGCCAGAAATCAGATTCCTGATACACATCTGAACGTATGCCAGCAGTGAGAGGAATGTGGTGGGCAAGTCCCTACCAATCCGGTCCCCTGGGGAAGAAACTCACAGCATGAGCTGCTAAGAGCAAGGGACACCCAACTCTTCAGCCAGCAGAGCTGCAGTACCAGAGGAGCCCCACCTCTGAATGAACCGGAGGGTAAAGCAGTTTGGCTGAAATGGAAAATCAGTTGGGCAGGGTGGGGGAGATGGGAAGAGGCAACAGGACTGCAAATGCGTAAATCCCTAGAAAAAATTAAAAACCCACTGCACGTACTTTAAAAGCAAGGCAAGAGGGGAGCCAAGGAAAAGAGGGGGAAAGCCAAACAGTGTGCTGGGGAGAAGGGGAGAGAGCAATACAAGTAAAATGAAGCACAAAGTAAAAATCCAGGAGTGCAGGGGCACCTTGGTTACTGCAGCTACTATCCTGCCCCTGCTGCTCACAGGTCAGGTCGCAGGGTTCAGACAAAGCTCTGCCTGGATGCTGGACCAGCTGAGCTCCAGCAGCTCAGGCAGACAAAGCCCTACATGGCAAAGAACATCAAAGAGCAGCTCTAGCTCTAGGCTATAACCCACATCATTTAGAAGGAATGTTTCAAGAGCAGATGGGAAGCAAACTGAGGGGGGTGAAACTATCCAGCAGGTAAGCTCCAGCGGGTGGCTTGGTGTTGCCCAGAGCACAGGCTATCTCTGCTGATGGTGACAGGCACAATACAGCACTTAGTATTATTTAGTTTGTGATGCTAGCGAGGAACTGCTTGCCACGTTAGAAGATGGCACTTCACACAGTGTCTAGACAGCTGCTCAGAAAGCCCCAGGCAGAAGGCAAGGTTGGTCTATGGGATAAAAACAACAGGGTGCGGAAAAGGAATCCAGGAAGCAAAATTAAAGATGTCAGGTAAGAAGCTGAAGACCAGGACGTCTGTGGTAGCATGTCTAGGTTTGGACATCTCCGAAATGCCTCAGATGCCATGTACAAAATTGGTCAGGAAATTAGACAAGCATTGAAGTGTGACTGAGAATAAAGGTATGTGGAAGAGGGTTAGCATCTATTAAGATCTGGAGGAACTTTTGGAATAGCTGAGTCTACACAAGAAGAATGGGCTTCATTGAAATGAAAACAGAATTGGTTCCCTGGCACTTCAGATGAAATATTACAGGAGATGTCTTAAACTAAAAGTTGGGGAGAGTCAGTACAGGAGAGATTCAGGAGCATATCTTCTAAGAGTTAAGTCACTAAAACTCTGTAGCCTTAGGAAAACAGTAACATAGAACTCAATAATTTTCAGGTAGGAAACAGGACAGCCTCAAGAAGTTAAGCCAAATTTAAGCAGGGCGCATAAAAACAGGCAATGCAGTCAAGACAAACAGATCTGTGCTTCTAGGCTAGAATTTGAAAAAATAGAGGAACTGAAAAAACAGGATAAATGAGTATGTTGGCTTAACAGCACCTTACAAACTTGTAGGAAGACCGGAGCTAGTGAAGTGTGGTATGTGCCAGGAAAATGTGAAGGTAGAAGTGTGAGGCTATGAGTTACCAGCATCAACAAACAATGCAGAATGTGCGTGGACTCAAAGCCTAAAGAGAAACAGGATAGCATTAAGGCTACACTACCAACCATTGGAGCGACAGTAATGACATCCATGAGAGGCTGGAAGAGATTCAGAAAGGCTGCGAGGGCAGAAATTGCAATGGGAGACTTGTGTCGCTTCCACATAAAACACATAAGCATCATGATAATGCATGAGACAAAGGCAACATTTTTAGCCACGATCAGCTGCTGCTTGGTGCTAACAGCCAAATAATACAAAAGTATGTAACTCTTCCTTTGGTCCTAAGCTGCTCTAAAACGGAATAACTGAAAAAATCACTTTGTTGCAATATTCTTCAGACAACAGAATTCAATGATATTTTTAGAGGGGACAAGCCTCCCACGAGAGTAACAATCGATTTCAGGAAGGGGGGGCGGGGGGAAGCCTGCAGATGATATTCAATGGCAATATAAAAAGCATCAAGAAGATCAGGAAGAGCTGGCAGAGTTAAACAATAAACAAAAAGGTTTTTAGAAGTAAAAGGACATCCTTCGAAAAGGGGAAATGTTTCCAAAGGACACAAGAGAAATCGAATATGCACCTGAATTAAAAAAAAAAAAACCACAAAAACACCAAACAGTAAAAATGAGATATGGCATGCAGTTTTTGAGAAATGACCTGTTAAAAGATTAAAACTCTGAAGACCTTTTTCAAACATCTTTGAGATCTCAGCCTGCTACTAAAACTGAAGGTCTAATAGATCAGCAAGATCACAGCAGAAAATCAAAACTGTGTTGGTGTTCAGCAGAAGAGCCCACAGAGAAGCTGCTAGACCTAACCCTGTTTTACAAGGGACAGGGCACAAGAAGAGATTAATGTGGAAACTTCTGCAGGGGAAGTTTTAGAACAATCTGCTAGTAATGAGGAGTAACTAATCACCAGGACTAGATAATGCTCAACATTTTTACAGCAACCCAAGTGCACACCAGGTGAATAATTAACTGAGATGTGTAAGCTATTGCTTACATTGGCTTGGGTGCCCGAGGAATGAAAGGTGGCAAACACGATACCAATTTTGTAAAAAGGTGTCTGTGGCGAACGTGGGAAACCACTGGAGTCTGACTTCTGAACAAAGCAACTGACTGTCACAGTTGGTGCAAGGGTAAATACGGTGCACTTGGGAAGAGTCAACATGGCTTTCGTGGAGGAAGGTTGTGCATCACGTATGTAGAGTTTGCTGGAAACATCACTGAATGAGCAGATACACCTCATGTCGCTGACTGCATCTGGGTTTTCAGAAAGGGTTTTGGATTTTTTTAATTTTTGTTTGTTTGTTTGTTTACAAGTTGCTCACCATAGACTTGAAGGAAGCTGCTCTTACGAAACAGGAACTCTTGAAAAGATAAGAAATAGTACTGAACTTCAGTGGTCATTTTTCACAACAAAGGGAGACCTAAGGGGAACCATGCTTGTCCCTGCGTTGTGCAATACGCTCATGTGTTACATGGAAAAGAGACAAACAGTGAAGTGACGTGGGTCATGGAGAGGTGGCCTGAAACACCCCTGGGACCACACTGACCCAGAACACAGGATGAGGTATTTTTGAAACTGTGAGGTTTGATCCCAGAAAAAGGTGTCTATAACAACACAAACGCATAAATTGGCACGAGACACACCTACAGACAAGGACTGGCAAAGCCTCTTCTACCACAAAGGTAACAGGCAAGAGACATCCTCCCTCGCAGGATGCAAAAACACGGGGTTTAATCGCCAGCGGTCTTTGTAGGCTTATTGTCTACACATTCATATAGCAAGAATACTAATAATCATTTTTGCAATAAAAGCGAAGCATAGTATGCAAAATTTAAATAATTGTAAGAAAATAAGACAAAATATGAATTAAGAGCACTCACAGAAATGAGGAGGACACATCAGCTGTCTAAACCAGTAACACAGAACTCCAGACAGCTTTTTCCTCATGAAGTAAAAAAATAAATAAAACCACAGTTGTAAAAAGTTCAAAGCTGAAAACAAGCATCAACACTGAAGGAAAGGTTAATGTTTTTTTTCCTTTTTGAAGGAACTACGCATGCACCAAACTCACCAGCAATAAGGCTGATATGAAACAACTCCTATCTCGGTCAGCATGGGTGCACCAGATGGGGAATGCCAGAATGTGTCCATTTCTCTGGGTATACAGATCACTGAAGATGTGAGAGCCACACAGAGATCATGTAATAATTTTATTATCATTGTATGCTGAAATAGTATACTTTTATCAAGACCAAAGGCGTGGTTATTATATGCTTGTATTGCTCCAATTTTATGATGGCTGTCGCCAGGAAGAAGATAATAGTTTCCAGATAAGGACATTTCGGAACAGACTTGAAAGACAATGAACAAAGCCATTACCTTGGAGTATCCTGTCTCTAACAACACTGTTTTGCCAATGCTGGGAAATAAAAGATAAAAGGACTATAAACAGTTAAAAAGTAACCCGATTCCTGTGAATAGAAGCAGGTGGTAATGATCAAAAGCCAAGGAAGGATTTAAAGACACACTCCCCGAAGCAGCAAGAGAGAACTGGTTTCTGAGTTGCACAAGCAAATTACACCACCTTTGAGATCTCGGGATGTCTGCAGGAAGCTGCGACCTGCCAGGATCCCCAGGTAGGAACTCAGCAGATGGAGGAAAGCAAAACCAGGCCTGCATCCAGCTTGCTGAGGTTTGTTTCAAGTTCTTTCTTCCCTGGTTTGGTTGGAAAGAAAACATCTGTCTTTAGAGAAGTTGGCTAATTGTGTGTATTACTGGCCAGGAAGCGAACCACAGATGGTCAATCTAAGCTGAACTTTCTGAAATAGTCAGAGGGAACTACAACCCAAAATCTAGCAGCAGAGAAAGCTTGACACCTCTCAAAGACGTGCAAAGACCCTGCTAAGGGCAGGGTCCTACAGGTTGTGCACTCCAAAACTGAGCAGTTCAAGAAAACAATTTTTATTTGACACCCTTGGAGAAAATGCATAAATGACAAAGTCATGTTAACAGTTCAAAAGCAACAGTGTGGTCAGTATGGCCAAGTAGAAACTGTAAATCAAACCGCAAAACTAGTGCTTGCTGCCTGAATTCCTAAGAAAGAGAGAAGAGAACAGGCAGCAAACTGCAAAACTCCACCGGGATTTCCCCAGTTGTGCCTGAGGCTTCTCATAGTCTCCACAAGAAACTGGTGACCCGGAACTGTTCAATATATAGGTGATGAGGATGCTTTTACTGGCTGAGACATAAAGACTGAGGGATACCAGTGGTTTCAAGAAAAGGATTATAGGGAATGCAGAAATGAATACATCTGTCAAAGCTTAAAATCCTGTTGGCTTAATGCCACCTGCTGCAAAGAATGCAGAAGCGCTTCACCACGAGCTCCTGTGCTCTTCTCCAGAAGATGACAGGCTGGAATCACTGATGTGCAGGTGGAAAAGACCTTCTAAAGAGCTCCACTCCAACCACCCGCTCACAGGGGACAACCTCCAACACTAGATCATCTGAGACTTGAAATGCTGTAATGAAGGAGAACCCTCACTTCTCTGGGCATCTGCCCCAGCACGGCACCACACTCCTGGGGGAGGATTTTTTTTCCTCCCATATCCAGTCTGAACCTCCCAAGCTGCACATAGCAGCCATTGCCTCTTCTTGAGTCATCTGCCACTGTCAGAAGAGTTTCACTCCATCAGCTTTGTAGCTGCCCTTCCACCAGCTCTAGGCTGCAAGTAGATCACCCTTTAGCCCCTTCTGCACCAGACTGGACAAGCCTTGCTCATTCCCCCGACTTTCAGAGCATCCTGACAACACTCCACCGGCTTGCCCCCAGTTTCTCAGAGCTGAATAGCTGCCCGACTTTATGGAAACTTTGTATTTTTCATTTCAAACAGTGCAAGCATTCTAGAGACTGACCAGAAAGACAACTCTACGATGGACAGTTCCTCCCAGGATGCCTTCAAGGATGAATCATGGCCACACTACATTATAAACTACCTGAGTCCGCATTTACAATTGCTGCTAGCTTTGGTGTTTGGGCTGTATTCCTTCTTCAATTCCACGGTGTGAAAGGTGGAAAGAAAGGGGATCTGGCTTGTATGCTGATCTGCCTGAGGGTTATCAAGGCCAGGAAGGAGGATTAGCTGGAGTCTGACTCATCCATTGCTCTGCACAGGGATTGCAAAGGGAAGGTAAAGAAAGAGGAGAGCGGCGAGAGCCTGGTGGTGAAACACTCACTTGTAATTGCTGTTGATGTCAGAGACACGCCAGACATTCTGCAAGTCAAAGCCCATCCTCACCAGCTCCATCTCAAATCGGTATCTCACATGGTCTCCTGGAAGAGCAGAGCACAGGGTACTTACTGGCAGCTAAGCAGAAATGATGAAATCTAAACATGTTAGTGGCAGCTCCACAGCAACTATCATAGGCTGCAGAGGAACTACAGGACAGCTGGACAGCAGGGAACTTGCTTCAGAAAGATCCAAAAGGATTTGTGCAGGGGTTCCTCTGCTTATTTTGTCAAGTCAGATCACCTCTCAGTCTCAGGGCACAGAGTGCATGGGAACAGCCTTCCCACATCAATGTGGAGCGTGCGGGGGGCTAATTTAATCCACTTTTGCCCTTCTGACAGAGATGGCTTCCAAAGTGGATGTCAGGAACCCCAGGCAGTTCCTTCTTCCAGACTGCTCTCTCAGAGGCTGACTCAGGGTTTGCTCTCTTGTGTTTTAACCTCACCTTACAAATACGGAATGTCTTTGTTGCGTGAGTGTCAAACATTGTCAATAAATAAATATTGCAAAGCTCTTAATTCATATCCTGCAGCAATGATTTCCACAGGTAAGTTTATTTATATTCGAGAATAATACTTTCTTTAAAGGAGAGACAGCAAGTATCTCCTAGTTGCTAGTGTTTGGGACAGGGTAAGAACACGTAGTTTACCTCTTCTCTAGCAGCTCCTTTTTGGTATCTCTTTCAGCTATACTATTCCTCCCCATCCCTCCATCCCAACCTGTGTTTGGACATTTCATTCCAAGGCTACTGCTTCTCTCCTCTAATACTATCACATTTTTAAGTCTAAAGTCAGGTTTGTCACTCCTTTTAATCCCCTTTCATTCATGCTGAAGCTGTTTAAAGACAAAGCAACTGCGAGTGAACTTTGTGTTCCCAGAGAAGGGAAATTCCCAATCCACACGAGGGCTCATCACAGCTCTGACTTTCTCTTCATGGATTCAAAGATTTTATTCGTGCCTGTGTAAGGATGAGCCAGACATCTCCACAGACCTGATCACAGAAATGTCATGGCATTTCTAGGTGTTGGGAGAAGAGATGCAAATGGACTAAGCTTAATTATGCTGCCTCAAAACCGATGATGTTTACCATCTAGGGACAAGATTGCTTGAGCTCTCTAATATCATGATTAGAGTATTAAAGTATGGCATGTTTTCTGCATTCACAAGGAGAAAGGGAAAAGCTGCTCATGTATTGCTGGCTCAGAATGCTCCTTATTGTGCTTATTACTATTATTCCTTTTACTGTTCTTGTTATCCAGCCGCATCTGACCATTAGCTGGATCTGTAAGCCAGGTACAGGATGCCCCTCAGCAAGATGAGCTTGGGCTATGGCTACAGCAGAGCTCAAGACATAGCCAGACATCAGTTTATGAACAACAGTTCAAATTGCATTGCAGTGCTTCTGGACAGAAGAGAAGGAAGAAGACACCCCAGGAGCTTACCTGGACGGCAGAGATGTGCATGTTGATCCTCCTCATCAACACAGACTCCTAAGCACCACGCGTGGTAGGCAAATGCAAAGAGGTCCTCAGGCTTAGCTGGGCGGGCAATGGCTCGAGTTAGCCTCTTTAGCCACTCCTGGCACTGCTTAAAGGTGGAAAAATGGCACCTGCAAACCCAAATGCAAATCAACCTCAGTAGGTACCTTCATCCAGCCAAGAGACACAGAGAGGGAACCCTGCTCCACTTATCCAGGAAAAGGAACAAAGAACCAAGTCTCAGTAACCTTGGCCATGAACAGCTCAATTCCAATGGCAGAACAGAGGGAGACACCAGAGCTGATCATGGCAACTCGCCTGCAGCGGCATCTACAATACAGCAATAAACCAGGTACCTGATCACTTTGGAGTCCTTGCAGACGATGTGAAGCTGGAACATATCCCGACACTCCACACTTTCCATCATCCTCAAAGGCACCTGCGAGGGACAGATGCAGGGCATGACAAGACATACCACATAACACAGCAGCTTTACCTGTAGGCCTGTTACACAGAGTCATGGCTCTATCAACAATCATGAGCTTCTAGTTCAAACTACAAACCCACTCTGAGGTTTTTGAAGCTCCATGACCCAGCAAAGAGCCTCCTTCAACAATTACTATTCTGATTTCTACTCTGTCCCTGCGTCGTCTCCCACCTGCAGCCAGTTACTGACAGAATTGCATCCAGACAAGCACAGGTAACTGAGCCAAACAAAAGCTGCAATAAAAGATGGCAAGTCAAGACAGCGAGAGAAAGCCTCAGGCTCCCACTGTCTGACTCTCAGTTGCTGGCCTCCGGGTAGGAGAAGTTTCATTAAAGCTGGCCTGCAAGAGACCTTAACAGTCTTAAATGCCGAGTTTAATGCTTGAATTTAAAGAGAACAGCAAAGGAAAGACCTCATTATTAGCCAAAGGAAAACCTCATCCACACACCAAAATACAGCAGCAAAACTACAACTGCATGACCAGCAGTAACTAGAGACAGCATCAGGCTTGGCATCCTTCAAGAGGCACAGTTCCCACGCCACAGACCACAGAAATGGCTTATGCCCCTCCCACCCAGCCCTCCCCAAAATACTTGTGCGAGATTATGGTTCAGGCAGCAAGAACAGGCAGACCTAGACTTACATTGATCACAGAATCCTTGAATTTGATATGAAGCCGGTAGTTGGAGATGGCGATCACAGCATCGTTCGCATGGCCAAGATACTCCACTCCCTCACCCTGCAACACAGTGAATGGGACCTGGAAGGGAGACATCACTAATTGAAGACACATGCAGAGTACTTTGTGCACCATAAATGCCAAGAGCCACTCTTCCTGCTGCCTCCGCAGTGCGTCTCCTGCGGAAAATCATTCACAGCAACGTGCTCTTCGTGCCCTGGCAGCAGACAACAGCACGAAACAGCACTGGTACCCACTGCCCAGCCCCACGAGATGGATCTATTTCCCAGGATGTCTCAGCAGGCAGTGAGCACCTCCTGATGAATAATTACTTGCTGAGAGGTGTGACCAAACCCTATGTACACCAACTGTGGGCATCTGGCAGCAAGGGTGTTGCATGGGGGCAGAGGGATTTACAGTCTCTGCTTTTTGGAGAGGGTAAACGCAGCCCTGGCACAAGAGGCATGATAAAGGACACAACCTCAAGCATAGCTCAGACACAAGTTGGGGAGTGCTCTGCCCAGCCCAAGGCAGAGCCTGACATGATCAGAGTCCTCTGCCCCAAGGCAGTGTCGTATACGTGATCCTACCACGTCATTTAAATAAAGGGGGCTCTTAGCAGCACTACGAGACCCACCGGTACCAATCCAGGTAAGTAAATGAATCAAAGTTTTGCCCAATTTCTGCTAAAAAGGCTCTGAGGGTATCTCTGTGTATAGTTATTTGTGTGACTGAGGCAACTTCATTAAAGTTACCCATATTAGGATTTAAAAAAAATATAAAAATCCAGACAATCAAATGTCTTTCTGTTTTTCCCTATCAGCCTGGACATGCCATTGTTATTCTTAAAATAAGAGATCCTGGCAGGTGGCCAAGTTTGACTTTTCTTTTCTTATATTAAAAAAAAAGGTGGCAGAACAGCCTAAAATTCACCAGGCCCCTTTTTCCTTAGCTAAGTAGACTCCTCATTGTTCCCCGGATGCCATCTACACCAGGTGACGTTGGTAGCCAATTAGGCAAAAAATGTCACAAAGATTTATCATTTCAGCCAGGGCCCTTTACTTGCCAGACAGGGCATCTGATGAAACAATTCATGATACTGTAATCAGTACAAGTCAGACCATCTTGTCTTTATTTCTAAGTTGTTTCTATGGCTTGGGTAGGTGCTGCCTAAAAACTGATTTCAGACTTTATGTGCAAGTGACAACTGTACTAACAACTTCTCCCTTCTCAAGTTACTTGTACAAAAATAACATTAGACTGGCATCTGTCTGAATACTCTTTAAAAATGTTAATTATTTGACATTAAGAGAATATACTCTCTTTATTTCTGCAGTTTATTTATGCACGCTTGCCAGAGCTGTTTTTAGCTGGCTTGTGTTTCTTCTGCTTACGTGGCTCTTTCACACAGCAACAGAAGGGAGACAGATTAGAAATGGGACGGTAAAACTGCAAGAACCGACAGAGGGAAATCCTGGAATGAACTGACAGGTGCCTGAATACAGCTTGTTATCAAGCCAATAGCATCCTCTTACACTCCACTTTACATTAACAGAATAACAATTTACTAAACGCAAATTACCCTTGGGGAGGAGTGAACTTTACGGTCCTCCACGCAGAAGACTTAAGCAGATTCTGCTCTTCTCCAGGTAGTCTCAGCTCAGTCGTCTCAGCGGCTTCACCTCCCGAAGGCTGCAGACCTGCAGCCTTGACCCCGTGCAACTCCTCCGCCTGCGTTTGCTCCTTCAAGTCAATCCTCCCGTTGCCACATTTCAGTCCTTGCTTTTATCAGCACCGTTTACCAAGATGATGCCAATCACAGAGCAAACTCAAATACTGCAGCAGCAGTAAGAACATACAGCGTGAGCCATAGGAGGAGGATGATGAGCACTGGGACAAGGTGGCAGTGGACTATGTTAAACAAAGCAACAAAAACCAGGAGGCTTTGGCTCCCACCGTTCAGAATAGCGCCCTTGCTGCACAGCAGCAACAGCACCCAGGTGTCTTTCAAGGGCCTTTTGCAGCAGGAGGCTGGCACCGTATGGAGGTTTCTCTTTCCAACAGCTATGCGGCAGGAAAATGCAAGGAGCAACGTGTATTAGGGCCAGGTCGGTCATTGTGATTGCACGCTACGGCTACACAGAGCACAGCCTAGCTCTGATACTCGCCCTGTCCCAGAGAGTGTCTACCTGCTGCAGAGCTGCACAGGCAGCATCACAATTTCTCGCTGTCAGCACAGGCGGAGGACAGGGAATACCCAGGACAGCTCTGTATTGCATCATGCTCCAGCCGTATTTCCAAGCGGCAGATGCAATGCTGTACAAATCGCAGCGTCTTGGCAGGGCCGGGAAGGCAGGGCCAGGGCATACAGAACTGCCGTCAGCAGCCTCCACGCACGCGGAAGGACCAGCCACTCCAAATGTGACCTATAGCGCCCAGCCAGCCCACGGCCTCCAGAACGCGTCCTGGACTGGAGAACCGCTCCCAGGTTTCACGCTACCAGAGTCAAGCCTGCCACATCCCGAAGCGGACGGTTTCAATTTTCTTACTTCCTTACCTGCAATGACTCTTCCTCCTTTACAAGCTCTTTTGGGGGGAACAAGTCCTTGGCCTGGATATACTCCAAACTGGGAGGGCCTTCCTCACCCTGCATTGCAAACAAAACACATGTTGAGACAGGCCCCAGCCAGCATTTTTTATGAAAAGGCAAAAATCACAGCTGCTGGATACTCTTTGCACTCCAATACCTTGGGGATTTCCTGGACCTGTGCATGGAAACGCCTGTTCTGCCCCTGGACCCTGCCTCCACACTGCAGGACCCCAGCAGTTCCTCCTGCTGTTGCAGGATACCCACAGCACAGTGAAAGACTGAAACGGGTCTCCAAGTCCTGTCTCTTCCAGACATGTGGTATTTGGAAAGCCAAGCAGATACACCTTGGCCAGACACAGGATCTCAGACTGGTGTCATGTCAAAGGTGACCCCATTTCCTTCACTATGGCCCTACAGCAGAAACACCGTAACACAAAGGGTTTCGTTCTAAAGCTTCAACCTACCCTTCCTCCTCTTATGTTTATAAGGACTGCTTTCTTTTGGGAGTTTTAATTTGCACAAAGAAATCTGGTCTGGGAAGAGCCTGAAGCTTTCTGAAGATAATACGCCAAGTGTGAAACTTAACAGCAACAACTGCATCTAAGTGCACTCAACCTCTGCTACTGACTGGTGACAGCACCCAAGCAGGGCATTCGACCTCAGGGCAGCTGAACATGTCTAACATGCTCAGACAGCCTGGAAAGCCCACGGAGGCCTGAGGGAAGTGGTCTGAGAGGACACACGGGGCCTGGACACGCCATTCTTGGAAAAGTGGAGAGAGTGTCTCAGTTTGGGAGGTGTGCATCTTCAGCCACTCATGAAATCTCGGTCCTCATTGTGACCAGCCCTCACCCCACACTGCCAAACCACCGACTCGCTGCACGGATGAGCAGCATCTGGACACTCAGCTGAGGATGCTTGCCTGCCAGGAGCCCAGGACAGTGTTAATTCCACAGGTATTTGTGTGGGACTCTTTTCTTCAGAATGCCTCTGGCTCTCTACCTATAGCTCCTCTAGGCTCCAGTATTTTAATGAACAGGAAATACTCTGTTCTGTAAGAATTAAATAATATTTTAAAATGAAACATCTTTCTGGGTAAGTCACCAAAGCCAAAACCCCGAATTTCAATCTGAAGAAACAAGAACTCAACCCTTTTGGCTCAGTTATATTTAAAATGATGGTGAATCCCCTTATGTTGCTGACCGCCACTCAAGCCTCAGCACCCACAGGTACCCAAAGCGCTCCCCAGAGCTCAGACCAAGGCAGCCAGACCCCACGCAGCCCATCTCCTCCCCAGGTGCAGAGGTACCTGTGCACATGCCGCTCGTAGCTAGCATAAAACTCTGCATTAACCCCAGCTGGAGGCAAAGGTGCTGCCCCTCCTCACACACTCACCACGTCCCTGTGTGAGGGACACAGGGCACAGCACCTGCTCCAGCAGCCACCGGTCACTGGAGACCACGGGGGGCTCCGGGGCCTCTCCTGCCAGCGGCTCGCTCCGACGCTGAGGCACTAGCCAAGGAGAGCACAAAGGAAAGGAGCGTGCCTGTGTGCCGGTGTAGCAGGCAGGGAGCAGATACCCTCCTCCCCCATCACCACTTCGCAGAAATCCCAGTGAGCAGCAGAACTGGAACAGGGCAGCCCGAGCTCTCCGCTGGCCTGGGTGTCCTTGAGTTCCTCCATGCCTGCAGCACGGGATGGGCGGGAGGCTGAGCATCTCCTCCTCCACAGCCCCATCCCAGGGCATCAGCAGGGCAGGGGGCTCAGGACCCCACTCTCTTTACCAGCCAGCCATCTCCCGAAGCCCTCAGAGCCTGTTTGGCCATGAGTCCTTCTGGGGGCTTTCTGCAGGAAGAAGCATCGGATCTTCTCTGAGCAAGAAAACTCCTCTTCCTGAAGGTATAAAAGATGCAGAACTCAGGATCCCCTCCCACTACAACACCATCCTGGCAGCATCAACACAGGAGGGGGTCTTGCACAGCCCTGCCTTGCATGCCGCAGCCATGGCGGGAGCGCAGAGCTCCCCTGGGGTTGGCTGTTCTCACACAGTAATTTTCCAGCTCCAGGCAAGGACCGGCCGGAGCCTGCGTGGCACAGCACACTCGCCAGGGCCTTCTGGCCGATTTTTTTTTCGGCCGCTGCTGTGCCCTTGGGCCCGGGCAGGGCAGCAGCAATGGGGGCCATGGCATCCACCAGTGCCATGTGGGAGGGAGGAGAAGGGGATCCCCCTTTGCAGGGGGGATGGCACACCAGGCCAGGGAGATCCGCACACAGCCCGGCCTCAAGGACAGGCCTGATCCGGAGCAGCCGGCTCAGCGTGGGAGCTCGAGAGAAAAGCTGGCTTACAGCCACGCTTGCATGGAGGAGAGGAGAGGGGAAAAAGCAGCACTTACAAAGCAGTTCAGCATGGAGCAGGAGACACGGCCTGGCAGACTCATGTTCATTTCCCGAGGCGGCAGCTGGGCTGGGCACGCGCAAGCAGCATCTCCTTCCT